CCAACATTCTGACATTCTCTACACACTCGGGTGTTAAAAGGACTTGGAAATAAAATAAACAACACGACAGTCGCTATTTCCTTGCATAGCATCAAAGGGCGGAAGTGTCATTTCTTTGACCTGTCCAGCAGCAGCGCTCCCATAGGAGGACACGCGGCAGAGTGTCTCCCCGTACGGCTGACCTTCTCCTCCCGCCCGCCCCGCCGGACGGCACGGATCAGCGACCCGCCTGCTCTATAAGGGCCAAAGCGACCTTATCGCAGTAAGGGCGAAACAAATAACAGGAGATCCGACCGAAAAGGCGATATATCTGATTTGAAAAGAAGCAAAATTTTAGACCTGCTCGCTGAGAAAGAAATTTAACTGAAAGAAAACGCAATGAAAATTAAGAACTTCTTTGGAACAAGCAGGTATTTTAACTCAAGAATAACTCGAGATAACTTTTGCCATTTTCATGAAATATTTTCCGCTGCTTTTATATTAACAGAGGAATAAAAAGCACTCCCCCAAAATGGACGCGTACGTGGAATACGTGCCGTGTGGGCGAAGAGAGAGAGACAGGGACAGGGAGAGAGGGAGAGGGAGGAAGAGGGAGAAGAGGGACGGCGTATCACTCCTTGGGGCGCTTCCGCCCTGCATAAGGAGCCCCGGCGCCCGCAGGCCCGGCGCCTCCCCTTAGAGTTTAGAGGACACGGACAGGTAGGTATGAGGTGGGAACGTTGGGCCCCGTTAGGCAGATCGTCCCATTTTACGACGCGTCCGTCGGAGGGCCTTAAGGGCGGGAGAAGGTCGCTCGGGATTAAAAGATGAGCATTAGGGCGTGTCATGTTTTATCAATTGGTCCTCCGCGCCGCGCCGTCAAAGAGTATAAAATAAATTTTAAAACCGCTACATATTTTTGAGGGTTAGAGAGAGAAAGAGAGAGAGAAGGGGGTGGCTGTGTTTGGGGGGGGGTGAATCTGCTTCTTTTCCAGGCGTCGAGAGAGTCTTTTGATTATTTTATACGGCAAAATGTGATTCTTGCTCTCCTCGTCCTATATGGTGCGCCCTCCCTCACAGTCCTCTTTCCTCTCACAGAGTCCGAAAGGAGGAGGAGGTGTAGGGGGCGGCTGCCAAAGCCCCACCACTGCTAGTTTACGTACTATCGCGTGCACGTGTGTGTTTGTGTGCGCACTGTATGTATATGCAGCCGGTGCAGCGCCGCCGCTGTTTTTACGCCATCACACACACACGTGCGCGTTTACCAACACGCGCGGCATATGTAAATGGCGGGCACACACCCACAAAATTGTTTTTGGGGGGCCGAGGAAAAATTAATTGTGACACGGGACGGGCGGTAGCGGTGGCAGGGGAGGCGGTAGGGGCAGCGGTAGGGGCAGCGGTAGGGGCAGCGGTAGGGGCAGCGGCAGGGGCAGATGCAGGGGCGGGACGGCGGCCACCACTTCACTTTCCTAATCCCCGATAAATCAGCGGTCACCACGCCTCGCGCGTCAAAACCTGGTGTGCACACTGCAACCTGTGTGTGGCGGGGAGGGCGTGGCGGGGAGTGGCGTGGCGGGGAGTGGCGTGGCGGGGAGTGGCGTGGCGGGGCGTTGTGGGGCGTGGCGGGGCGTGGTGGGGCGTGGCGGGGCGGTTTGGGCACTCTTCGGTGGCCGAGGCGCCCTGGCCCGCCGCCGCTGGCCGCGCCCTAGCTGCTGCACTGGTGCACCGAGTGCGGCCGGGCCCGGCCGGCCGGGGGCCGGTAATAGGATTTTGTTAAATGGATTGTTCGCCCACTCTGAGCTGTAAAGTTTAATTGGAAAATCAGGTCAGCCGCGGCGGTGCAGTGTAGGGGGGGAAGGGGGTGGGGGCGTAGGGAGGGAGGGCCGAGGAGTGCAAGGACCGCAATAGACAACGTAGGAAAAGGCGGCATATATGAAAGCTGGAAGCCCATCATGAGGTAGTGAGTGGACAGATTGAGAGGGAGAGAGAGAGAGGGGGGGGGTAAAAATACGAACGTCAAGTCTCTTATACTCACAAAACAAGGGAGGTCAGCGCAGCCGACGACAGCGATATGGGAAAGTTACTTTGGCAACAGTCGTAGAGTTATACTCGTGGAGTTAATTTTGCAAGAAAAATTGACTAGTTCTTGTTATTCGTACCTCCTTTAGAAAGATTGACGTGACCTAACATTATTGCGGAACAATTTCAGTTACCGACAAACTTTTTACTGAAGTAATCACGGTAAACGAATTGAGTCATTTTTTAATTTTTTTCGATTCCTGCCGGACGGCAACGGGCGGAAGCATCAGAAAGCAGCAGCAGAAGCAGCGATCCTGGTTTCCTGTTCCACTGCTCCTCCTCCTCATCCTCCTCCCGGCCCGAGGCCAGAAAGACGTGGCGGCGCGTGGCGTGCGAGTAATCCTCGCGGCGGGCCGCGCCCGGCGGGCTTAGCCCACTCTCAGTACAGTCTCGGAGAGGGCAGTGGGGCACGCCATTCATATCCGGCTTGGATTGAGTTGTTATTCACATTCACGCGGTCTAGTGCGCCCTCCTCACCCTCCAAGAGCGCTGCTGGGGGTGGTGGGTGCTTCAGTCTTCAATGGTTCCCGACAACAACAGACGGCGACAGCGCGCCGCGCCCCTGCGTTGTGGCCGGGCCGGGAGCAGAGTTTGTGTCATACACGTAAAGAAGTAACGCAAACGACATCTCAGTTTTCTTCTGCTGCTGTGGACTTTCACGTTCAAAGTCCTTAACATTAACGAATATTTACAGCCGAGTGCTCGTACATCATTGTAAAATAACAATAAAGTTCCTGTTCTGAATTGAAACCTAAAGTGGACGTTTTCGAACAACTTTGTTGTTGAAGAGGGCGCTCTGTTTCTCATCAACCACTTTTTACAGTGTGCTGCAAAATAACATAGCAGAACTTTTGAAATAATGAGATCGACGCTAGACGGGTGAGCAAGCACTGTAAAAAGTTTTCGTGATTTTACGAAAAAAAAAGTTACGAAATACTTCGTAAAAAATAATTAGCAAAAATATTTCGTAAGTGTCACTTTATGACACGTTTCGTAAAGTTGCAAATATAGTTCGTAACGAATGCAAATTTTTTGGTTAGACATCATAAAATTAGACAAAAATTATAACAATTTTCATACCACCTAGATGAAGCTTTGGATTTTACACAGCAATTCGTAAAATAACGACGTATCGTAATTTGTTAAAAACAAAGTTTTTGTAATAGAAAATTAACCGAGAAAATTTCGTAAAATTACGATAATTGTTTTAACAGTGAGGTGAGAAAACTAAACGTCACCGCCGACTGTGGGTCGCCGCGAGTGAGACCCCGGCGGGGTAGGCCGGCCCGCAGAGCAGCGGAGTCCTGCTGCTGCCTACGTCCACGGCGTCTCCAGAGCAGCAGCGCGGTCACCCGGACGGAGAGAGAGGGACTCGCCTCGACATGAAATATGAATTACGCGCCCACACGGCCATCAGAGATACGAGAGTCGGGAAATAAAATAAGATGGAAATCCAGCGCGAAAAGCAGTAAAAAGCCAAGGAGGCAAACTGCGGCAGGGGCCGCAAGGGTCCTGCTTCACTATAAATTCTGGCTACACCGATTTTTCTGTTTTTCTTGATTTTTCTTGATTTTTTTGGTGATTTTTTGTGATTTTTTCTGACCTTTAGTTAATTTTTTCTCATTTTTACAAGATCTTTTATGATTTTTCAAGATATTTTCGTGATTTTCTCAAAGGGTGTACACTGATTTTTTTTGAGTGAAGGACCCCTCGGGGCCGCTCATTGCTCGCGCTTATCCCATCGCAAACAACACGACTTCCACCCGCCAAACATATCAATCACGGGTCATTTGAGGCGGCCTCAACAAGACAATACGAGCCGTGCGCGTGTGATCGATGATCACATCGTGCTGGGAACCAAAGGTTTTGGAAGAACGACGAAAGGAAAAAAAAGCGAGCGTCATCATCATCATCGCTTTATCATGGCGACGTGTCGGTGTGGGTGAAAATAATCTAGCAATCCTTAATGTGGGGTTCATATAGCGGCGGCTGCAGCGTGGATCGCGAGGTGAATAAGCAGATTTACCAACACAGATTTCTTCTATTTTTCGCTCCTGCTGAGCGGGATCGGGAAGTTCAACAGATAAGGCAAAAGGTTATTCGGCGGTGGTGAGACTACGGCAACGACGGGAGATAAGCGAGCGGTGGGAGTAAAGTGCAGGGCGTAAACGACGAGCAGGTGAGATTGGAGAGAGGGATCCGAGAGAGGCGGGGGAGAAGGGGGAGGGGGCAGGGGTACGGTAGGTAACAGATCCACGTGACGACATTCTTTGGATCGAGCCCAAGTCTATGGTAGGGATTACGCGTCTATGTAGCAGTGTGAACGATAGAGAGGGAGA